CTTGAAAACCATACCCTTCACAGCGGCACATACCTATATAGCCCATATATGGCAGTGCCCCCCCCCCTCCCCGGGGGTTCAGCCAAATGCAATCACAGCAGCTTACAGCCAATTATGTCTTGTTTGAAATTACGTCGCGTAACTTCAGGTAAGGCAATGAGTGGACGCTTAAGGAGATCTAAAGCTTCAGTAACCTGACGTTGTGAACACACTACGAGAAGAAGCTAAAAGTTACCAGACTCCAGAATGCGGGTATGCACGCAGTTGTAAAAACTCAGCGAGCACTCATCTAACTTTTGCGAGCAATTTTTGCACAGGCGAAATTTTGCGAGCACTTTTAAATTGAATGAGACCATTCGATACCCCTTATAATAGTCCTACGGCGTCCTTCGCGAGAGACCGTGAGAGCACATCATGAAAAAGCTTGTGGCTCGAGAAGGAAAAAGTTGTTAGGAAAGTTACTAAAGCCGGCGACATACATTTGCTGAACACTCTTTTAAACGTGACACATGCTTGTATGACGGCAGATTCAGTAGTTTAACTGTCTGAGCTGATGCAAGTGTTTAATTGACTTCTCCTACAGTTTGCTTTTTCAGTCAAAATATTTACTGTAATAATTACAATACTTCTGTTCAAGTTGTAGAAAGGATCGTTGGACTTCACAGAACTCCAACTGACTCGGAGTTTGGTCTTGTCAGCAGTCGTTAAAAAAGATAGTTATAAAATTGGAAGATACCGTCAGATGGCACTAGTGGTTAGCACACCTGCTTTACGTCGCCATTGTTATTCACAATGATCAGTTTATTGACAAATTTCGTTGTATTTTGTGCTATTGTTTCCAAGTTTAACTGCCTGCTGAGATTGATTTGCATAACAAATACACTGCAAATACAAGTCTTGAAATAGGTCTCACGTTTCACCTCTCAGCAAAATTAACCCATTATCTGATCCGTCACAGCACAAAAGTACGGAAGCTTGTAAAGGACATACGAGATGCGACATAATTTTAGATAAATTTCGAACATATTACAGTGAGTTTGAGACGAAAATGCGATATGCGACATGCGAGATGCGCCATAAAAAATGCAAGATGCGACATAAGAAATACGAGATGCGACATAAGAAATGCGAGATGCGACATTACAAAAATGCAAGATGCGACATAAAAAAATGCGAGATGCGAGATGACAAAATGCGAGATGCGAGATAAAAAATGCGAGATGCGAGATAACAAAATGCGAGATGCGAGATAAAAAATGCGTGGTTGACCTTGTATACCACTATTAAAGATTATTTTCAGCCTCAAATCGCAAAAGAAAAATATGAGAACGTTCAGCCTCAGCTCCAAAATTAGACGTTCGTATATAAAAAATAGACTACGAGTTGTCCCTCTTTCGCTTAGTCTAAGCGAAAGAGGGACTACTCGTAGTCTAATAAAAAATGGAAGTGTAATTCAGTTAAACTAGCATTTCTAATGCTGTTCTCCTTCTGTGCCAGTTTGGTGGAGGAAAGCTAAACTGTCAGTGTTATGTAGGCATGTGTAGTGTCGCTCTGTCCTTTTAAAACACGGCTTCCGCCTGTTTGGTTCTTAGGCCACAGACCAATGCAAGGCGACATGAAAAGGTTTGAAATTCAGACGGGGAAATGCTTAACTTCACGAACGGGCCAAGAGAACACCCCACGCAGAGAAGATCAGAGAAAAAAATAACGTGAGCCGATGATCATTGTGACGTGGGAATCGTTTGGAAGGTTTTTTTCCGACCCGGGACCCGCTCACATTTTCCCTTCTCGTGAGGAAAGGGCTGAGGACCTTACTGGAAGAGACCTACATATATGCATATAGGCCATATTTTGCTCAGCAAACTTTAAAAACCAAATAATTTAAATCCTACCAACCCCCTCCGACACCCCCGTCCAAGTATCGGGTCGAACTTTAGTCCTGCGAGAAATCAGGAGACATCATCAGCCGATAATCGATACAAAGGATGCGAGCCCGCGATACGAGACAAGGACCGTATACCAAAAAAAAAAAACCAAGATGGAGGCGAAGAACTGTCATGAACGAGTTCTTTCTCGCATATTTCACGTATCTTTAACAACAGGAATCGTCCTTATTTTAGTCCTTAAAGATACAGGTAACGCAGATGACGATCTTTATGTCTTAGTAATTTCTTGATTCGTATTTTAAAGCCAGGATTTTGACGACATAAGCTTGTGTTTCAGAACTTAGACGAGCTTGTTTCAACGGGAACTGGTTCTATGTCGCAGCTTTTTTGTCGCTTTGCTTCATTGGATTTATTTTCTACTTTGTGGCAAGTTGTATGGATCCTGGATTTGCAGAAATAAGCGACGAAAAAAGTATAATGGTTACGTTTGAGGTAAGATTGATCTCCCTTGACGTGAGTCAACATGAGCATTTATAAGCTTCTGAGCTTAAGTTGTTGAATTCAGGTGATGGAGATGAATTATTTATACCAAATAAATAAACTCAAGTTTGATTTCAGTTTGCTCGGTAGTTATCTCGAAGGAGGACTCCTTTCATTTGGTTTACCAATGATCAATTTTTATACGGTCAAAGACCAATTCCCAATTTTTCTACATTCACAAATCCATTTTTTTGCTTTTCTGTCTGGTTTCAAAAACATTTTGGTAATCAGCTGTGAAGTTTTCTGGCCCTATAGCACACGGAATGGGGAAACCTCATCAGGTTGAAGTACACAATGTAATGTGATTAGTAATGTAGTTGTTTTTATTAAAAAGGCAAAGGAAAAATTCCCTGAATCACAGAGAAACAACAAAATAAATGGAAAGCTGTAATTTGTGATTCAGATTAACTTTGCCAGTCAGATGTAAATTTGATAGTAGGTTGGCAAGTTACTTTTTTATGGCCTGAGAGAAAGAAGCAGGCATGTTGCATTCTGGGGTCCCAGATGTGCAGGGAAGCAACTCTCAAGTGCCTCAACACTTTTAACTAGAATGTCGGACCTCAGGACTAATTTTGGAGATTGTCAGCATAAATTTGATTGGTACTGTAGATAATGTGACCACAAGTCAGAATGAGTAAATATCATCACAGTGTGTCTTTTTCAATGCTGGAAATAGCACCATGTTATGGAACAAAAAATTAAAGCAGCTTTCCCTCTGGCCTGGCAAAAGTTAATCTGCTTAAGAAATAAACACCATTGGCTGTAAGATGCAACTTTACCTCTTTGCTAATGGCAATCCTGTAACTCTCTGTAGAAAACAGAGCAAGATTCAGAAAGCCAATCAGATGGGGAGGATGCAGAAGAATCCTGTAAAATATTGGCTACACCACCTCTAGGTGGTGCAAGATTACGGCGCTGTGGATACTGCGCAATATTGCAGCCACTGCGAGCTAAGCACTGTGAAGACTGTGGTCGCTGTGTGCGAAGATATGATCACCACTGTCCATGGCTTGGAAATTGTGTAGGGGAGAGAAATCACAGATTCTTTTGGTGCTTTCTCCTAACTCAGTGTGTACTCATTGCATGGGCCACTGAAATTACTTGGTGAGAGTTCTTTGCCATTGCTACTTCTAATTTCATTAAAAATTATTAATCTAATAACTATATACAGTCTGTAATGTTATTATAATACATGAACAAATTTATGTGGTCTTTCATATATTTACTTGTATAATACATGAACTGATAACGTGTCTTTTCTGTTCTACCAAAATGGCTGCTGTGTTATTATTTGGCCTTTGTCACTATGTCTTTGTCATCAATGTGAGATGTTTCCTAAACTTAGAGATTTTAACTTTGCATAATGTAGAAGTTTAAAAGGTCATGTGTGTAGTTTTAAGTTTGTTATACCATGACTTTGTAATTTTAAGTCATCCATTACTCTCCCTCCATCTTTCCCTTCCTCCCTCCCTCTCTCCCTTTATCCTTGCCTCCCTCCTAACAAACCTCCCTCCATCCCCCTGTCCCTCCTTGCTAGCCGCCTCCTGAGTACCTTCCTCCGGCCTTCTATCCCTCCCTACCTCTCTCAGGTCCCTTTTACTCCCATTATTTAGTTTGATTAAAGTGCATGTGATGGCTGGTTACTGTAAAATTATGTTGGCTTAAATATGTAAGGATTTTCAATAAATTAAATAAAGTTTTCTGTTTTTTAGGTATGCTTTTGTATACAAGAAAGCCTGGCTGGCATGGTTCCTTGCCAATGGTTTCCTCATTTTTGCAATGTTTGTCCTGTGTCTCACTTTTCTCGTAGTTTTTCTTCTGTTTTGTTGTCATTCTTATTTGATGTTTACAGCTCAGACTACTTGGGAGTACATGTCCCGCTCAAGAATTTCTTATCTAAAGACCCTCAGTGAGGATGTGAATCCCTTTGATCAAGGAGTGTTCTGTAATGTGTACAGCTTCTTGTGCCGATGTCGAGTTCAAAAGTGGGAAGTTTTGCTGCGACAGAGAGATCGATGGGCCTAGAAACTACCACTTAGTATACATTAGGTTTATTTCTGTACAATGTAATTTAAAAACGTTTTATTTTTCCAAATTGACGTTTTGCCAATGGGGTGCTTGTGAATTAGTACTCTGAGTTGATTGTAGCATGAGATTTTTGTACCCAAATTTGTTTCCCATGCTCATTCCTCCACATGGTCAAAAGAGAGCCAGCTTGGCAGCTGGAAAATTTTGAGTCTTGTTTTTCAGAAAGTTAGATTTTCTGTACCTACATGTATAGTATATAAAATAACCATGCTCAATTTGTATAATTGATTAAGATAATATATCTACAGTCTATTATTAATTAGTCTGCTGTACAGGGTTATGCAATCCTGAGTTCCATATTTATGGCTGTGCCTACATTACATCTCACGTTGCAGGGGACCACATCTGAAGACTTTTCCAAAAGACTGAAAACTATTAGTATTCTGGTTAGTATAGTTTAGAGGCCATCATTTGTCACTCTCCTTGGTTTGTGCTCTTATAACATATATAGTTTACATTAGAGATGTTGCTAGGTAACACCAAGTTTCTTTTACTGACTAGTATTTATCCTATTTCTGATTTGGATTATAGTCATTAGAGGAGACTAACTAACTACAAGTGTATGTTTGGAAAGTATGACATAAAAATTCTTCTTATTTTGCCACCATAATTTTTCAAAATCGTAGTTGTTCCCCATTAGGGGAAGCTTGGCTACATGTCATAAGAATGATTTACAGCTTGTACATAAATTAAGTCAGTGGCTCTAGAGAGAATAACATACTTAATTTGTTGAAATATTGGAACATAGAGGATGTAATGCGACAATAAGACGTGTGCTGTTGGATACTCGTTCCCAGTGAAATGTTGTTACTGACTACAGTGTTGAATTTATAAATGGCTGAAATACCATGTACAACAGATCTCTATTAATTGTTATAAAAGACTAAGTTATGTATGATATATAATTAGTAGTTTAAAGAGAAAAAATGCATGTCACGTTAGTGTTATGTCATGTGTGACATTATGTTCTGTCGCGTGACATTTTTTCCTGTGCGAGGGTTGTGAGAGTTGTTCCTTACTTCTGAGTATGAAATTTCTTGGAGTTGCAATCGCAATAAAGAAATCATGACCTTGATAAATGGTTTAAAAAAATATGTATGCCCGCATTAAAACCAATAATGCCGTTTTGACAACAGTATTAAAGTAATGCTGCACGGGTCCATCCTTTGGCGAGGGGGGTGAATAGGTTTTCGGATTGACGGATTTGGCCTTAAAATGCGCACGGATTTTGGATTTTTGCGGTAAATCGAGCGGATTCGCGGATTTTGAAAACACAGTGGATCGTGGATCAGCTGTGAATTTTGGCGCGGATTCCGGATAGTGCCTGTCTTGATGTTCCTAAACGAAATATGGATCAAAGATCTTTCTTGAGCCTTGGTCGGTATGCTAATGAGGTCATCCAGATTATTTCTTTTTCGAACGAAGCTCATTAAATTCAGGTGTGAGACTGTTATTGGAATTGCGGTCATCAAGCATGCTGCCCTCTTTACTATTTGTGCGAAATTAACAATGGCATTCACATTTACCAGTTTGCCGTTGAAGTTTTGGCGGACCGACGGATTTGGCGAAAAAAAGGTACAGATCGGCAGATTTGCACACCCGTATTTACCCCCCCCCTCTTTGGTCCATCCCTTGAATTGGGGCCCCTCCATAACCTGTGATCAGGCGTTCTTTTTTTAGGAAAAAAAAAAAAAGAAAGAAAGAAAAATAGAAAAAAAAAAAGAACGCCTGATCGCAGGTTAACCGTCTCCATTGAAATGCCTGCTGGGGTGAGCATGCCCCTTATGCGGTCTTGATTGGCAAGAACTTCATGGTAGGACACATATAGTCGCCTTCCCCATCACCCGTTAAATGCTAAGCGCAGTCCAGCAAACAGCACTGAATAAATGCTAATTACAAACAAACAGCAGTACATAAATGCTAACCGCAACCAAACACAGTATATAAATGCTAACCGCAAGCAAACGGCAGAATATAAAAGCAAACTGCAGGTAGACTATATGGGTGGCCTACCATGAATTGTATGCCTGTTGATTGTATGCCTCTTGACCTGGTTTCTAACCTAATGAGCCCGACCAAATAGAATACAATTTTGTCCCAGACCACGCCGTTTTGTGGCTGGTACCCAAGCTGCCGGCGTTTAAGATTCCTTCAGCCAGTTCCGTCACAACTAGTGAAGCAGAACGAATAATCCCAAGAATTAAGTAAGCTCGGTTTGATCTCGTCGATCTTAGGATTTATCATTAATAGGACCTTGTGGCCAGGTCAAAGTCAACATGGCAATGTGAGACGGCTGTGCTGTGTTGTGCATGCTGTACTGTGAGCAGCTTTCAGAATTTCAAACAAGATAAACACTGCTTTAATCGGCCAGAAAGTCATGGAAAGGTAAGTTTTCGAAACTCAATCGCTTCATCTATACCGCAGACGGGATCGCTTTTGAGTTTATGATTCTCTTCAGTGACAAGAACTAAGGGAAGTACCTTATGAAATCGGCACCCCTGATTTTAGGTCTTTAGTTCAAAATCAGCCACCTCAAGAGGTAAAATTCATTAACATCGGCTCATCATATAAAAAGTGTCGTAAATGAATTTGCCTCAAAATTCCCCCAGGGCCCCAGAAGGTTTTTTTCTCGAGGCCAAGCCGGCGGTCAGTGGCGAGGAAACAAAACCCTGGTCTTATTTTTCGCCTCTGGTCGCCGCGTCTGTTCCCGAGAAAGAAAAATAAGATCTCTATCACCTGTGGCAGAGTACTCTATATTGTACAACGACTATTTGAACTTGTCTGAGTCATCCCTTGTAATATATCTACTATTCCCTTGGGTGCTCTCAGGGTACTTCAACGTAATATTAGCATGATTAGTGAATGTCAGTTTGACCGTGTAAATGGGTAGTGCCGAGCCGAAATTGTTTGGGCACGGTGCCGATTTTTTAGCGCGTGTAAATGGGGTTTGAGTCACCTCTCGCCCCCAGTCTACTTTTTAAAATTAATTTATCGCGCAAGGACTTCAAAACCTTTGAAGGGCAGCTAGCCAAGCTGTCAGTTTGTTTCCAAAAAATGTTTTCTCAGATATCAGGTGGAAAGTTCTATACTGAAGTTTTCGTTAATTTCAAAAAAACAAAAACAAAAACAAACAAACAAACAAACAAACAAAAAACCTGCGAAACAGCGCGAAAAATACCCCTTAAAGCTGAATTTTTATAATCAATGCGGTTCCTAAGCTACGTAGTCTCAGAAAGTACCCACTAGTCGAAGGGTACTGTCGCCAAATACCCTTCCTTGCCTTCAAGATTTACACCAAGGCGGAGAATTTTGGGTTTTCAAGTCGAAACTTTTTCCAGTAACCTAGTATTAGCTACAACCGAGACCAAAAAAAATTCTTCTTTTTCTTATTTTGCTCGTAACAAAGTTTACTACTGTGTTCGTTCGGGATGAAGTGGCACTTAAAATTTGTCAAAAAAAAAAAAAAAATCAAATTATCTGTCCCTTCCCGCAGCACTTGTAAATGCGTTGAGTGTATAAAAAGATCACCCCTAGCCTCGATCGGCGTTTAAAATTTCCCAAATAGCCTACATTAACTGACTACAAGACCTAGATTCTCTCTCACTATAAACCAGGGCCAGCTTTTAATCCCGCGGGCTGTTTGTTGAACTGCCGTTGCTATCAATGTTTAAAATTGAGAAATATCATAATAATCATCTGTCTGCCGAATTATAATATCTTATTAAACTCCATCGTAAATTATCAGGCTGAGGATGTACACGTTTCACTCTCACATTGGGACTGTTAACCGGCTAAGAGTTAGTTCAGCTCGTGTTATGATACATGTGAATCAGTCAAAACTCACTTAAAAGGAAACATCCGGTACACAGGTCCCAGCGAAGCAAAATGAAAGCTCCTATAGAAATTGCCAGTTGAAACGGTAGCTAAAAAAGTTCTACTATTCGACAGCTGCGGTCAGTGCTATTTTGCATTTTGTTTCCCTCGTTGGTTCAGTTGGCGTCAATCAACGTTTAATTTATGCTCTTTTTAATAATGTAATCTTCAGGGATCAAGAGTTATAAATTAAGATCAAAAAAGTATTTGATATGTGACCACCGATAGTTTATCATTTGTAGTCAGCCCAGGTTAGTCCTCCTGTAATTTTAGGGCCTGCCTGCCCACAAAGTGAGTTTTATGACTTCAAGTTGTCCATCTCAGTTTATCAAGAGTACTTAAGTTCCGAACAAAACCTATCGATGGTCATGTTTGGGTTTGTCTACTGGCCTTGGTCTGAATCTCCCACAAAGGTCCTGTTTAGGCTTCTTGTTCTCTAAACTTTGATTTCTATTGATTGTTTCAAAAACTTTGTAGTTCTGAAAGTCGCGTAAATTGGTGTTTGGGTTGATATTCTAAAAGTGTGTTTAATCCGCCATGGTCAGTTCGTCCCATGTGGCCCACACAAAGCTACCGACTTAAATACGTATGGTATTTAAGTGCGTGTCCATTCGCTAATCAGGTAGTAGAACTCTAGAGGCAGAAGTAGCCTAAGAACTAAGCGGAGAACTCTAACACAAGCAAAAATTTCATAAAGCCACCAAAATACGTACCGTCAGACTGGTAAAATAATGACAACAAAAAGAATATCAGTTTGTCCGACCATAAATCAAAAGAAAAAGAAAAAAAATAAATCATGAGACAATATTTACACTTTGTAGCACTTGTGCATGCAGACCCTTACATGTAAATGTGGTATTTTGAAACTGGTAGAACTGTCAAATGTTCTGCTCTTTCATACAACTGTGCAGAGCGGTTTTATCTAGACTGCGATGAAGGCGCTAAAAGTCAAAGGAGGGGGCAGGCTAGGTTTTATCAACCCAAACAATATTAAGCAAGATCAAATAAAGACAAATATATATCCATGGCAATCATCAAGACGTGTAAATAAATTTCACAGTCCAGTAAACGCAATATCCTGCCGCCCACGGAACTCGCGGTTCTCTCGCCCACTATGACGTCATTGTTATTTGCCTGGGTTATTTGCGTGTTCGTTCAGCGGCGCTTGGGAATTTCATGAATAATTTACCTCGAGGGTTTAGGTAGTTTGTTGATATGCTTGGTAGAGAACGTAACTCTTAAACAAAGACGGTCTTCATCGTGCGGGAATAATCAGCCAGGTTGGAGAAATCACGGGCCAAAGTAACCCCTTCCTCTCGCAACGAGGGGAAGTGGCTGAAACGCGGACTTTCAAGGTGAGTAAAAACGCTGTTGGCGTGACAACACAACAGCTAGTAAGGTTAAAAGATAAATTGAACGTAACGTTTCATTCCATCACACTGTACACGTAGAATAAGCGCCAAACGTGTAGGCTTCTTATAAAACCGAAATCACACTTTTTGACATGCATGTGGCCTTAGACAAACGGCAAATAACATTAGGTCAAAACTTGCTTGTAAACCAATATCGTTTTACATTATTTAAACGTATTGATACAATGCGTTATTACAGCAACAACTATCCCCACAGTTAACACAGCCACCTGGGAAGATTAATCAAAACAAAATTCGACCGCAGGTTCAGCGTGTTTCAAGCAAGGGCTTGGGCTGAAAGCATTACGATAACTGGGAGATTAAGAGCCGGTTGACGAAATCGACGAACCATTTCATTACGAAGCCATGTTGCCCTCGGCGAGTTCACAATAACGTAATAAGCTTAATTAATCCAAGTATGTTATCGAGTTCGCATGCTCAGTTTTCAATCTTTCTTTTTTTTTTCCTTCCACTGATCCATATGTCATGTAGTTTGAGTAGCAAGCGCGATCTTAAAGAGATTTAAGGAATCCCTACAATCACCAATAATATTTGGATTTTGGTTTCCGAGAGGTGGATGGTATGCAAAGCCATTCCAAGACAGTCACGTATAGCCTTGACCTCACACATCATGGCTACTCAATTCTCGAAACAACAACACGTGGCGTTTCTGCTACGTGGATCGGCATCATGTATAAAATGTTCAATAGTGAAAGCGGCTATCTGCATATTCCATGTGACTTTCGCCGAAGTCAATTAGAATTTGAATGGCTGGTCGTAATAGACCTTAATACCGTCAACCATGTCATGGTGTGTTATTGTATTTCATCGTCTCCGTAACAGTATCTAGGGACGACGGGTCAGGAAAAACATGGTAGTTTGCTCAGAGAGCCATAGCTTTCGACTGGTGGAGGTCGAGCGTAGCCACGTTTTCTGTTATTAATCTCTCAGCGGGGTAATTAGAGGGTTTGATTTCCACCTTTAATTTGCTAATGACAAATGACGTTTTGAACATTTACGGTGACACTGATACACAAACCAGAAACAAAACTCAGGGTCTTGTTTGAAGTAAGACTGCTCTTTGATCAGTTTGATCACGAAGATCAACATAATCGGTACACAATGGAATTTTTGAAGCTGCTCAGCTATTCGACGCAGTTCCACTAATGGCGTTAAGTTTGATTGAAGGTAACGTCTCAAACACGGTCATTTTCATACGCTTTCATCTTCATGATTATTCGTCTTTTCCTGTTAGAGAATGTACGTTACAAGAGGCTGGCACCATGCAATATCAAGTCTCTGCTATCTTTGATATTTACCGAGCATACAATACCTTTATTTGTTGACTAATGCCGCAACTGACAAGTTGCGTATATGAAGCAACAAGGTATGTTCTTTCTTCGTTCCCGAGGATAATGACATGGATATTCTAGTCCATAATGATGAACGAGATCATCAAATGTGTGGCCTGTAAAACCAAGTCATCTTTTTTCTCAGTATTAGCATGATCACATAATAAACACACAAAAAAATTAATCAATGATCAGTGGTGACCACACTGGCGACGATGACGACGACGACTTTATCGATGATGATGACAGTGAAGGTGGTTGTAATGATGGCAGTTACCGTGATATCGACTACGGCGCGGCGGTAATGATGCTAATGATTACGATAACATGACGATATGATGATGGTAGCATTAATTATTGTGTGTGATCGCAATGATGTTGTGTATCGCCTCTGAATTCGTGAAACCGTCAAATGTTGTTGCATTCGAGGAGCGCTCTTGCACGTCACTTGATGGTATATTGTTTGTTTCAAATGCAGCCAGCGTGTGTTGTACGCCTACCGGAAGGAAGACCGCGATGGAGATGGAGAACCAGACCCACAACCTATCCCAGGATCCTTCAGTGGTAGAGTACCCCAAATTGTCGAGCTGGTCACGGTGAGTTCAAATGTAGTCGGAGTTCTTCTCATGTCAAAATGCATGATCGTGTTGGAATTTACAAAACATTATATAATTGCCTAGACTTTCTAAAAGTCATTTCCAATGATATTTCCATTGTTAGTTTCGCCCTTGGAAAGGTCGACCTCTCGCGACTTACGTCGCCCGCGCTCGCCCTCGCGATTTCGTCGCTCGAAGATTAAGCTCGTCGCTCGAGATAAGTAAGTCAAGGTTTAAGAAACGGTCGACTTGTGGCAAGTCTAATGATTGCCTTGGTACACAGAAATCGAATAGGTTATGCACAAAAACCGTTTACGGTGGTGCACATGAGGACTTTTTTAAAGTTGAAATTGCGGGTCACGGAACACCGCATTTAACATCGCAAAACAAAACAAAACAGCAAATACTGCAAAGTCGTAGTTAGTCATTGTGGCTGCCCGTTTCGTTGTGACCAGGGCTAAAAAAGAGAGTCGTATATCACTAACGCCTGATTTTGTTTATGTTGACAGAAAGGACATCATTTCTTCCAGAAGCGTATGGAAAACCTTGGAAGTAGCGTGTTCAAATGTAGCTTTTTTGGTGCACCTTTTGTGGCCATAACAGATTACGAGGGAATACAGTGCATCTTCAACCCAAGATTGGTAAGATGCTTTCATTCGCAGTGACTGAGAAATGCAACTGTACCTACCTAAGTTACCCTCCCTCCGGCGGACCATTTGAACTTAGAACTGAGTCCCAAAGTATTCCCTGGCAGCCAAATTACTGATAGTAAAACCTCTCCCAAACTACCACTTAGTGACACTTTGCGCTAACGTGTGAAATACGTTTCAACGCTCGTAGAGAAATTTCGTATCACCAAGCGGCCACCTAATGTCCTCTATTTCTTTAATACTTTTAGTTTTTGTAGTTTTTAGTATCATTAATAGAATTGTGCAACTTCTTCCTTCATAGGTAGAAAAGGAAAAAGGATTTGGCAATTTTCGGTTCAATCACAACCTCCTGGGGGACCATGTACCTTCCATGTTTGAAAATGGCGAAAGACATAGACAGCAAAAGTCGTTCTTGATCGCAGTTTGTCAGAACATGCTAAGAATGGGTCGACTTATACCCAACATCATGGACATTGTCCCAGAACATCTCATCAAATGGAACTTCAAGGAAGGTAAGCTTGCTGAAATATGGAAAATACCCTTAATCCCTTAAATCTTTATCCGTTTTACGGATTTAAAGGATTATTTAAACTCTTGCACAGTAACATCTGCAGCAATGGTTCCTTACCTCACCAATTGTAAGTAGATTGAAAAGCGTTAATAATTGGCGATATGGTTCTAAGGGTTACTTTCCCCAGTCTTTGGAATGGCCAGGATTTTTCATGTTGATCTTGCGCTGATGTTCACTTTTCATACATCTATTGGAAGTTTTCTTCATCTGCCACTTCTCAACAATCAAAGGGTGGGCATTTCATGCTAGAGAATGAGTCTTTTTCTCAAGTTTGTTTCGTGCTGTTCAGTCAATATTTTGTTGTCACAGGTCAGGGTAGCCCTAGCCAAGAGGAATGGGAAGAGAGAATCCTTCATCTTGCCATGGACGTGTTAAGTGAAACCATGCTGGGGATAAGGCTGAGTGGACACAGTTTTTTACAGTGGCGATTTGAAGTTCTCAAGGAAGAAAAGTAAGTTGACTGAGAGGAAATTTTCAGGACTACATACAGTAGTTGTGGTTCAGTCTTAACGCATAGCCAGGCTACATATAACCTTGCAAGAAGATTAATTAAAGACGCAGCGGAAGAATTTGTCTATGACTAAGTCGCTAGTAGATAAATGGCTAAGTATTGGGTAATCATTCCCAATAACCTAAATATGACCGGTTTTTGCTATTTCAAAACTGTATTCAAAACTATGTCAATACAAAGGCAATCCAAATCTCGCTGAAATGTTGCTTTAAAGGAGAACTCAAGGCCGATTTTAAGAAAATAAATCACAAGAATGACCTTGGATCTTGATGTAGTTTGATACTTTTTGATACTTAGTTAAGTTGGCTGTCGTGAATGCTCCTTTAAAAGTAGAATTTAATGTAACCATGTTCACAGGACGTGTTTCGGAAGACCTACTGGGAAATACAAGAAAGCGCTACACGCATTTAACCACTTGAAAGATGCCATCGCAAATGCTCCAGATGTCGACCCGATCTTTAAGGAGGCCGCCAACCAAGGTCTAACTGAAGAAGAGGCAGTACTAGAAATTCTTTGGATGTTAAAGTAAGATTCAATTTTTGTACACAATAGTTCGACATACAAGTATTCCATTTTACTGATCTTCGGTTATTATTGTTTAGCCGTTAAATTTAGATTTTTGTCGGCGGGTCTGCTTATTTTTTGTCAATTTGATATATAGACCCAATTCAATGTCTCAGTGACTACCTCGCATATTCCACTGCACCTATTTGTAATCCTCAATATGTTTATCTATCGCTTTGAACACACCGTTTAGAGCTAGTCGATGTAATAGAGTGGCCTAAATTTTGTCAGCAAGTAAAAGTTGAAGAGGATAACGAGGAAAAAAAGAAACATCTTTACGCCCAGGCCAAGGAAGGAAAAGTAACGAAAACAGAAACCACTTATAGTGGAAACTATTTACAGGTTCCTTTAGTTTTGCCAAACTTCGTAGGACATTGCTTTACTTTTTCCCTCCTCTAGCTTGCGTTTTCGTGTTTTTCCCGGTCCTTCAACTTGAAACTGAAAAGCCCGCAAAATCCTTTAGGGGCTATTTAGTCATTTGAAGGACATAATGTTTTCTGAAGGACTTATTGTGTTCTGTCCATCAACGCGTCTTTGATCTCTTTGCAGCTTCAATGCCGCCCCTGGTACTGGAGCCGCCATGCGGTCAGCAGCTGCTCGCCTGTCCATCATGTCGTGCGAGGAGCGTACAGAAATAAAGAAGGAGATCAGAGAATGCCTGGGACCGATTGGACTGAATCTTAAGACACTCCACAAAATGAAAAAACTGGATAACTTAGTTTGTGAGGTACGTTTGTGTAGTACTGAAACATTCTTTGTTTCAAAAGCTATTGCTGGATTTCTGAACAATTTCAGAATACTTTTTTCTTGTCTCTCACAGTTAGATAAGGAAAAAGGTCGGACATTTCTTAAATCGCTCTTTACGAAAAGTTAAAAGCCTTTGTAACTAATTCTGGTGAATTCGTCGTTTTTTCGTTATAAAAGCCTTTTTACAGTGGCGTAATGAACAAGAGACCATTGCTCGAGAAAGGCGCAGAAATACGCATGCAAGCACTTTACGTACTAATAGCTACGAAAGATTTCAGAGTTGCTAATTATTAATAACTGTAGAATCGAAGAACCCCGCGTGGCTAAATTAAAATCATTCAAAAGGGATTTGACATTTGTTTTTGATGGTAAAACAAGAGAGGGAAGTTCATCCTCTGCACAAGTAGATTCATCAGAAGGCGAAGCATTTCTTACTTAGAGCTTAGGATTCAGAAGGAGGATCTTCTTTGTAGTTGCGGGGTGTCCTTCGAGCAAAGTATTCTGTAGTACATGTAGCTAAGTTGTGATTTTTCTGTCCTAGGTTCTGAGGATGTATCCTCCAGTCGCGTTATATTTTGGAGCAGCCAGGTAAGCCGACGAAAGCTGCATCGATAGTATAGATTAAAGCACTGAGACACAAATCAAAAGCACCACATCACAACATCGCGCAAATGTTAGCAAACCTCCAGGAACAAGCAATCCTGGAGTCTTGCCATTTGGGTTAATATTCTTGTAACCCAGATAGGTACGGATGCATTACATTGCTGATGTTTTTCTTTGCTTGTGACGACAGGAAGGGTTTCTACATGAAAGCCAACTCTGGAATTTACAAAATTGAAAAGGGACAAAAAATGGTTGGCAGCTGTCATCTAGCGCAGAGAGATCGTAAAGTGTTTGGTGTCCCTGGCTGCAAGGACGTGGATGAATTTGATCCTTCCAGATTTAACGCCAAGGTTAGTGACTCAGTAGTCACTTCACACGCTTCGCTTTTAAAAATTAATAATCTCAGTCAAGATTTCGAGTTGCTATTGGTAATACTGCCTTTGACACTAGTGGTAAAGTAAGCCATGCAAGTCCTCTATTAAGTCTGATTTAGAATTTATTTATTCTATGTTTTTAACTAAGTCAAACTGAGTAGTCAAGTCTGTTTTCAAGTCCGCTTAACCATGCCAGTACTTAACTCCACTTTACCTCGTAGCATTAAGGTACCATAAGTGTTTTGCTATTCACCCTTGATGGGCTAGTCCATCAAGGGCAGAGAGGTTCTAAGTGGGGTGTGGTGTAATCTCAGTTATCAATTACCTTGTCGGCAATTTTTAGGGTCTAAGTTAAAATTGTAGTCAATTTCACAGCCATCGGCAAATTGTGCGGATCTTTGCATCTTTGTGCAGATATCAGTTTAAAAAACACGTTATTTCGCAGCTTAGATGCAGTTAAAGTTTGACCAATTCTCAACTGTCACTTGAACCTTATTTATTCACAACGTCAAGCTACCAACAGGAGTCTATCAGGTTCCCCTAACAGTTGACCAATAGCCATTAGTGACAGGCACTATGTGAGTGAAGTATCTTGTCCAACAGCACAGCGCAAAGCCCGAAGCCAGGGCTCTGCTAGATCAGTGCAGGTTAAAAGGGCTGAAGGCATGCATTTTCTTTTCTAGGGCCTTAAAGCCAAGCTGATCTGTACTCACGGTCCATTATCAGACCCACCTTCTCCAGAGAACCACAAATGCACTGGAACGGTGAGTGACGAAGTGACGCGCATGGTCAGATATATATCCGAGCAGGGGAATAAGTACCAGTTGATGTCGAACAGAATAGGCCATTTCAGAGATACCTTGTTCCTCTGTTTCAAAACAAGTCTTCGCGTAAAACCTTTCTTATGAAAATAAGTTTGATTTGCTTGAAAATGAACCTATAGGCGGAACTCATTTTCATAAGAATGGTTTCGCGCGAAGACTCGTTTTGACACAGAGGTAAAAGGCCACTCGGAAATGGCCTATTCCTGTCAACTCTCCTTGACGGAGTTTTCGAAATTGCCATGATTGCGCCATGGTGCATTCTGGGCTGTTTACGCTATTCTTTGATTGTTCATAAAAATAAGAAAGCACACGAGTGTTTTAGTGCAGCTAGCATTCGTTCACCTGTACCTTACCAAGCCAATACAATCCTCGACCCACTTGGGTTTTTTTTCTACTGTAAGCAGGCACATTGCTAATTTACAATCACTTTCTGGTATTTCTTTTCAGAACGTCGGATATGTGACAATCAAGTGTTTTGTTCTTTACTTGATCATGTTCTGCGACTGGAGTTTGGAAGAGAAACCCTATTGGACTGATAAATCGTAAGAGCTATCTTGGTGTATAAGTTCTACCTAAAAGTACGACTGGCTTTTGTAAAGAGCCTGTGTAACGGCCAATACCTTCATTTGCAGATATTTGTTCAGTAGAACCAAAATAGGTGCTATTCCTAGAATCTCCCAATTTGTCATAACTTCGCTAGCGTGTAGGCATGTACTGTCTCCTTGGAATAGTAGCACGTCTGCACGCAGCCTACTGGCGACTCGCACTTAAGTATTTTTGTTTCTTTAGGCTCGTGCGGTGTATATGGTGTTTGTTACACCGTCTATATGCATTATATGAAATAGCATGCATTCTTGGTAATATTTATTATGACGGCGGGTTTCATCTTCCATATTTAAAGTCAAATAATCCATTGGAGGCCAGGTTTCTCTTCATTCAATCATTCGTTCATTTATTCATTTTTTTTTTTTCAGACTTGTGCGTTATGGAAATCCGGATGAACCCATTCGGCTGAAATACTTCAAGTACACTCGAGATAAGGTATCATTTAAATAAAACGCACACACTTCTTGTGTGGATTTGTGATATTTTTGATATTTTCCTCGTTGTAACAATCCTTTGCCAAAGCCCGGATGAACTCTCTGATAGTTTCCTTAGAAGAGCTTTAAGCTCTGATCTCCCGCTGTCACACCTGCAGGTATAAACCAAATGACTGTTTTTTTGTCCGGGGTGGTTTGTATATATGGTGTGAGTTACACCCTCTATATGCATTGGTTTGTATGTATTTGTCACTGAGGTCGGAGTCCAGTACGAATTTAGAGAGCTTCATCGGTTTCATTAGTTCATAGGCATTTATTTGCTTAATGGTCTCTCCTGTCATTGTTCAACACGAGTGCTTTCGCATTCCGTTTCTCAGGAAGAGCTGTTACTACCTGATCAACCTGATAGCTCCAGTAGCGAAGACGAGACGAACGATGTTCCTGATCCGGCCGATAAAGAGTGTCCTGTGGAAGAACCAGATGAACAGGGTGCCTGCCCGGTTTGACAAATCACTGGCCCTCATCTTCAAGTTTTCATAACTGATTCTGCTGTAGTCAGAGCGTGGAAAGTTGTAGATCGATGGAAAATCCATGATTTGAATCGACTCCTACTCTCTCAGTACTCGTATTGGATACAAGCCATGTGTTCAAGCAAAGAATATGTTATTTGACACCATCGTACTCCTTGTATTATCAAGGGTATCTACTGAAAGCACGGTCGATAAGCGTGAAAAACATCGAAAAAGATTCGTGAAAGCATTACCTAAATTTAGTATTTTTTTCAAATTAAGTTAAAATACTTACGAGGGCACTAAAGGATAATTTGGAATTCTCTCTTTTTCAAAGGATAGTGTGTGCATTGTTTTCTTTTTTGTGTTTACAGTTGTTCGCCCAAGAAGAGCATATTTTTCACCATCTCCTTTGTAAACATGTTTAATTACGTATTCGGAGTGCAATCTGCAGTAGAATCATTGGCGGGTTAGTTCATTGTGAATGACTGTTCCCAGTTGGAGTTTAATAGTCTGTGTACGACATGTAGCCTAGACTTGAGTTTTGTTTCAACACAATACGATCAAATGTACGTGCACGTGTTATTTTCCTGATATTATTAATTATTTTGATACTTCGTTAATAAGAAGATAATTTCGACTGTTGCCGATTAACGCATTTCTGTCCTTCATGAATGATAAGCTTGGTTATTTTTGCTACCCTGTTGATTCTGATTGTTCTTGTCGGCCCTTAACCAAGAACAGAACAGCAGAGAGGACAAACTCTTACTTTTGTAGAGAACGCTTAACAAAAAGTTTTAAAAACAGCAAAAAACAAAAATGTATTTTTTTGAAATTTATAATCGTTTTACTATTTCTATTGGAAGGTATTTTTCTCCTTGTTTACTCTTACGTAAGTATATTTTATGTACTCCGTTTAAAGAACCTAATGCCACAAAAAGTATTTAGTTCATGGTTCAAACCTGGACCCAACTTGCATTTACCTGCCTGTGTATATGTCAATCGTTTGTCGCCTCTCGTTTTATTTTTTAATTATTATTTTTAAAACGCCTTTGTATAGGTTAAATAGCAATCATTCTTGTTTGGGTCGGTTTATTTAAGAGTAAGTATATGGTTACTATAATTTATCTTCTGTAACGTTTTATTCGTTCTTTCGGTAAAGACAAGAGAGGAAAACTTCTGTGAATAGGAGCTTGAGCTGCCTTTTACCCGTATTACAAACTAATATGATCTTAATATAACTTTGAAGATTGAACTACGTTTAATACATGTAAACGACTTATTTTCTTGATGGTTTTGTATATTGCACGGTCTAGAAGCTTATTAATAAACAACGCATTTTTACGGATGTTTTATATTGCGCAATCTAAATTTAGGTTCCTATATTGTAATCATCCTCTTCACCATTTACACTCTTTTTTTATAAGAATACACTTAAAGAATATCGAGGCTAAAATTTGCGAAATTTTAAGACTATTTTAAGAATAAACCGGAGGCTCAGATTTTGAAAGAATATCATTTTTTGTGTTGAGAATTTGTTAATGCAACACAGATACAGTAATCTGATGTTGTGTCGGCATAGCCCACTTTGTTTTCCTATAATATAAGGATAAACCAGCAAAAAATAAGGATATTCAGCCTGGGCAGTAAAGACAAAATTCTTATAAAAAAAAGGAGCGTAGCCCCCGCCACCTTCACCATGCATAAACTAGCACGGATGCCTCTACCACTTTTAAATTTATGTGTTGCAATTTTTTCCTATTTCCTTTCTAAAATGTTAAAGAAACAAAAGAAGGTAGACTGCAAGCAGTCTCTCTTTTGCTCGAAGATCCGCTGGGGGGAAAAAGAAGACAGTTGCATGTACACTATATCGCGATTTCAAATGCTCCCCAGCTCTACGCAAGCACGCAAGTATAAGGGGAGAAAAAGTGTAAAAACATAAAAACAAGTGCACATCTGATCGATGGTTGCGAAACCAAATTTTGTAGGAATTTAGGAAAAGAAAGGCAACAACAAGATTTAGGTAGCTGGTGTTGTGAACAGGAAGCAAATATCTTGTTAAGCTTATCACCAGTGAAAGAATTCAGACACAGTTATACCGCATTGTACTTAATCGGTAGTGTCATTTACTTCCCTTGCCCTAATATTCCAATGGTAATATTATTTATTTATTTATTTATTTATTTATTTATTTATTTTTTATTTTTTTATTTATTTATTTATTTTTTATTTTTTTATTTTTTTTTTTCTGAGACCCACTTCACTTGGCGGTGCTAAAGCTCCCTCCAAAGGAAAGGAAAATAAGTCACAAATTGAGTTTATTCAAATCCACATAAACCGATACAAGCGAGCCGCTATACATGCCAGGACTGGAAAGTTCTACAGGCAATAATGTGCAACCATGTCGACCTCCATAACAAGCTTTTCAAAGTTATACACCAATTGGCTTACTTATGATCAGATCAGTCACAAAATCTTTTCTTCAGACAGGAGCCCAATACCAATGGGCGCCTGCTTCAGGCAACCGTTGGTTATTCCAAAACAACAAAATGAAAGAATTTAGTTTCTTAACTTACTACAAAACCTAAATGACGACCATTTTGAAGAAGGCGCGCATAAAAAGAAATTTATTCAGTTAACTGATTGGCCAGCGCTGTCGATCTTGTTAAAACACAATAAAAATTGCTCAACAACTGACCCACGTAGCTGCAAATGTTCTTTGCTATTGATATATCGCTGTTGTTTTTAAACACAATGTGCATGCAAATATCTGTTAGCCTTTCAGCACGTAACTGACGTCGCTAATAAACAAAGCGTAATTAATGAACCCTTTGGTAAGTTACGCAAAGTCGCAGGCAATCAAATAATGTCTCCATAGTCAATCGTGACAAATTCAAACAGGAGTCAGTTTAACTGTCAATACAGGTGAGCACGTCATAACTTTGTACTTGAAACCGCACCGGAATTTCGATGCAGAGTGTCAAGTGCATTTGGTATGTTCACTCGGCTATGACTTGATAATGACAAACAAGTTCACCAAAATTAAACTTGAGTAGCGTGTGTATCTTCTGCTTTCGCGCAGCACCTCGAAACCTGAGGCAGGTACTAGCTGGTATCATGCAAGTCTCCCCCGTCAACGAAGAGAAAGAAGTTCCCGGCGAGGACAGATGGAAGTTTTTTCACATTGTTGAGCTTGTTATGGTAAGTGGAAGTTCATTGGAAACGCTTTCAAATGCAACTCAGTTTCACAGTCGGTGTTCATGAGGAGGGCAAAGGAAGTTGCATCTCGATGATTTCTTTGACAAAACTTAGAATTAAGTGCCAATAACACACATCTCCTTACAAATGAACCGTTGCTATTGACAAAAGCCAAGTTTATATCAATCTGGAAGATGCAAAATGAGCATTGTACCTTTTGTCTCTCTTCATTGTTGTCCCTTAGTAGTCAAGGAATCTTCGGTAACTTACAGTAAACTACAGTTAACAGAACTGTGTGAGAAGCGCCTCACTACGTCAGTCACGTAAAGCTACGCTTTGAACAGAAAGATTCAGAAGCTTAAGAATGACACAGACATTAGTAACAAGAGTATTCAAAACAACGTAAAAAGTTCAATAGCGATTTCTCCCTTTGTTTACGGGGTCACTATAACACAGTTATTCTTTAAAAACGTTGGAAATAGTTCAAAGTGCCAAACGCACAGCTCTGACCAGTTCTCAAAGTTTGATAGTCAATTAAGGTTCAAAAAATCGTTTTAGTCCAGAGAAGTGTAGAATTCGAGAACTTAATTCATAGTGCACGTCGTCTATATTTTAAAGCATTCGATGCTCTGTGCGAATTAGTGAACAAGTAAATACGCGAAACGAAAACGTAATTAGCACGTTGTAACCGACTTGGTGTTAACAATTTCAGTTTTTTTCGAAAACCTTAAGAACCAAGCCGATCTGAATAACGTTGGATACGACTTACAAGAAAATATAAGTTAACAGTCTCGTTTAATATCTAGTGGTGTAAGGAACGATCAGTAATGTAATCTGCCTGCAAAGGCTTTACACAAGAGACCATAATCTTGCTTTACATTAGTATATAAGAAGTCTCATCGACTTATGTCCATCTTTCTGCGTTAGTATAAAAACACAACAAGGACCCACATTCCAGTGTTTACTTCTTACGTAATTCAAAAAGTGGATCATGACAAAAGAGCAATATGAGACTATTTTGATGCTGTGTTTAATTTGCTAGTTGCGTTTAAAACCACGTTGATGCATTTTTGTAATGCAAATTGCCAATTGTGATATTGGTCACTCGCGTCATTCTTTGGTGCGCTGGAGCATAGAACGGCTTCATTGAGTAACTTTGAACTTTCACAGAAGCCCATTAACAATGGGTAATATAACAAATTATCAGACGGTCAATTATTTCCCTGATTAAACTAAATTTCTCTTGATCTTTGAGGCACAGTTGTATTATCTCGATTGATATGTACATATCGATGAAACTGATCGCGTGACAAGAAGCGACGATGTTTCCAGACGAAAAAAAATTGCTTTGTTTCTCATCCTTTTACTTTTTCTTCGAAATGCCTGAGGCAAGATAAATATTCATATTCTTTCACGTAATAGCATGAAAGGCTAATGAACCTCGGTGGGACATAAGAATGGAATATAGGAAAGAACTATATCAATTACCCTCCTAAAACAGCTGCTAATGCCAGTATAATATCCCATCACTTGCAAAACACTCGCCACGCGCGTGGCACTCGCAATGCGCGAGTAAGACACGTCAAGATTGAGGCATATGGAAAGCCAGTAGTTCTGTTGTTTGTTTTCTCTTTCATGAAGGCATAGTTATGAAGACTGCACAAAAACAGCAGCATCAAACGTAAAATGCTGTCGCTTGATTAGTCAAAAACAGATCAATTACCAAAGAACAAACAGAACCTCTGCCCTGTTTGTGATCATGATGACGTACGTTGCCATGGAAACGACGCAGCAATCAATGTCATCTAACAATGAGAAATTCTTATCTATCTATCCCGCCAATTTACTCCGGTGACCAATTTGTTTGTCATTTGTATTTCTTCCTTTGTTTATTTTTCTGTGTGGGAAGTTGCTTTTTTCTAAAAAAAAAAGTTAAAGTTTCCTTCTATTCAGTTTCAATTCTCTCATTTTGGCATTTGACGATTTGCAAGAGAATATTTGGTCCTTTTATTTGGAAATAAAACATGCTATTAAAATTTATTTAAAGTAGAGATTGGGTTTACAATTAAAACACAACTCAAATGAATGCATTGGTCTCTTGATTTTTTTTCAATATCTTTGCAGAAAGGCCAAGGCTACTTCTACAAAAGAAGAGAAAAGTATAAATGCACTGTATTTAAAGTCAACATGGGTGTCAAGGGTATCCATGTTTGCGATAAAAAAGGGATCAGGGTCCTTTTTAACATGGAAAAGGTCAGTATAATTTACTTGTTTATTACTCGTCTTTTAATCGGTAAATATATGTAGCTGTTTTCATGTTTGTTGCCAAAGTCAATTCCATGGGGTACAGAAGTTGGTAGCATTCAATGCAGACAGGAGCCACTATGGCTCCTGATGCAGATCAAAAATACGTAAACAGTATAAGATTATTAACATTCAGTTTGTGTTTACTTACTAGATTTTCTGAAATATAAATCCTTTTTTTAAAAATAACAATCGACGAGATGATGTACAGTCCAACTGAGCCATGTCTCTTTGGATGATATTAGAGGGATTCTTTGATAAGAATGTTCGTAGTTATCTGTACAGTTCCATGCATATGGATTTACAGCTTTTTAGACCTTCCAAATCCAACCGACAGTCTTAGATAAGCTGGAAATGATGAGGTTCCATACTGTGGAAGTTCCCTGATACGTTTACAAATTAGTCAACATTTCATTACAACGCAGGACAGATAAGACAGGCTTATCCATTCTTTCAGATCTCCGGCTCCATAGAATAGGATCTGGTGAAAATGATCGTTGCAGAAGCTTTTAGAATGTCGTCATATTGTCCAGCCAATCGCTCCCCTCCTCACCGGGGAGTGGGGGGAGGGGGGGGGGTGGTAGACTCCCAGAAAAGTTGTGTGGGGATGTGCGGCCCACTTCCCAAAACCCTTACCCTATTTATGACCAAAATCTGTGATTTTTGCTACCCTATTTATGACCTCACCAAAAATTCAATACCCTATTTATGACTGTTGCGGCTGGGACAGTTGCCCTAAATATAAGTTATGAAGGGCTTTCGATGATGGTCTTATCTTATCGATAATGATGAAAAAGTTGCTTCTTCTGAGAAACATACTCAATTCAAGACTAGAGTGCAAAAACCATGCCCTATTTCTGACCAAAATTGCCAAAACCGATACCCTATTTATGACCAAAACCACGGAAAAACCATACCTTTTGGGTCGCACATACCTATATAGCCCATATAAGCGACTACAACCCACCCCCCGCCCCCTCCACCCCTCCCCGCGGGGCCAATCGATTGATTCCATTTTGTTTTCTCATTATTATCAGATTTATAAGGAGGCGGCCTTTGGAAGACTGAACTATAACATTTGTCTGCTGGATGGTTACACACCTTCAATGTTCTCAAATGGAGTTCCTCACGAAAATCAAAAAACATTTCTGATGCAAATCTGCAAAATAGCTCAGCAAAGTACAATATTTGAAACGAGTGTAAAACTGATCAAAGAATATTCCACGATATGGCAAAACGCAGGTAATGTAACATTTACCTTCTATTAGACCTTTTTAGCTTGGGCGGTTTGTTACTCCATGCATTTATGAGCATGTGATGATACTCTTGAAAATTCTTGTTTTCAAATTTTCAGATAGTCTCGTGTTTATGAAAGAATAATTTTTACATGGATAAAAGAATAATTCTCGAGAGAACATCACATGGTCTGGTCATGGGAAATCACACCGCCCAAGCTAAAAAAATCTATTTTACCTTTCAATTTATCTTCACGACAATCATTCTCTCAGCTTGGTTTAAGATCAAACGAAACTTGACTAGCCGAGTATATGTCTCTAAGGCTACCATGTTTTACATCTGCAGATTCTCAATTGCAATCCAACTGGGAAGAAAGCGTCATGAATCTCACAAGTGACATTTTCACAGAATCTTTCTTCGGAGTCAGAGTGGATTCAAACGCAATGTACACATGCCTTAAGGGGAGTTGGGCAAAAGGAAGGTAATCGTAAACCCATCTATAATCAACAGCTTATTTCTCCTAAATAACTCACTGCAATAATGAAAGGCAAGCGTGGCATGAGAATGATGTAATATAATATAATGATGAATAGCTAAGTAAATGAATAACAACATTGCTAAGGCGACTTTTCAAGTATAGGTTCATGTCTGAATTTGAAGACAAAAATCTTAATCTTAAGCAATTATCCAACGAACTAACCCACACTACAAACGTTCAAAACGTTGAGCAGGAACGAAATGCAATCGGTAAATCAAGACTTCTTTTAAAAAACGAAAACAAACAAACAAATAAATTTTCAGTTTGATTTTAAAAATTCTGAACTAAATTGATAAAGGCTGGTTTTCACTAGAGTATAAGCACAAGCACAAGCATAAGCACAAGCACAAGTGAAAACAGCCGCGACATAAACATAAGCATAAACAGAAAGATAAGAAGAACGAACCCACCTATTGGTCTTGTGCAGTTTTCACTAGTAACGCGCTCGACATAAGCATAAGCATAAGCACAAGAAAAACGAACCAGTTCTGTTTTTCTTGTGCTTATGCTTATGCTTATGTCGAGCGCATTTTACTAGTGAAAACTGCACAAGACAAATAAGTGGGTTCGTTCTTCTTATGTTTCTGCTTATGCCTATCTTTATGTCGCGGCTGTTTTTACTTGAGCTTGTGCTTATGCTTGTGCTTATGCTCATGCTCTAGTGAAAACCAGCCTTTAATAGGACTTAATGACATTGTTTAGAATGTAGGAATTCATAACCTAAGGAAGGGGAGTTTCACCGTTACATGAAGTACGGTATGAGGCATATAATAGTCTAACTCGGAATAAGATTTTACTGACTAATTTTTGATAATGGCTCATTCCGCTCTCCCTTAGTAAATTAAAAAAAGCAATGGGGGGTGCAAGTTGCTTAAAGAAGGCCTTCCGAGAGAGCCCAGGTATCGCCGACATTGTCAAAATCGCAGCCAATTCAGGAGTCACAGAGGACCAAGCGTTAATGGACGTTTTATTTATGCTCAAGTAAGTACCTTACGTTGTAACTGAACAGCTTTAGAGTTTTTCAACTGAGTGTTAAAAGTAATCTGATTTTACCTTGAGTTTTCTTTAATGTGAGCAATGATTGGCTTAAAATATCTCGAACCACATTAGTTCATTTTGTTGTTTACTTAATAATGGGGTTTTAGGACGCTTTATTTTGTTTTACGGCTCTATTATCCGCTAAAACAACTACCTACGTATCTAACAGCTTATTTCTTTTTTTTTTTCTACACAGTTTCAATTCGTACGGCGGTGTTTCTGGCGCTCTAAGGTCCTGTCTGGCTCGTCTATTTATACTAGAACAGGAATATAAACAGAAAATGAGAAATGAAATAATTACAGTGTTATCAAACCAGGAACTCTCCATAGAGGCGTTTAAGGAAATGCCTCATCTACACAACTTCGTCCTGGAGATACTGCGCATGCACCCGCCAGTGCCGGTTTTCTTTGGGAGAGCCAAGTAAGTACTGAGCGCATTTAATGGAATGTACTCTTCAAGGTTATCTAAGTTCAAGCCACGTAATTTCGTGTTTTTCAACGATAAAAAGACAAGTTCGTTTCGATTCCATAATAGTCATGAGTGCGATTTGTAATATTCGGTCGAGACTCCCCTATGTCTTTGAGCCGACTTGAAGATGTGACGACGTTACTCTTACCCAGGTTTCTGCCTGCTGTTAGGGAAAAGTCCTCCTTCTGCCACGGTTTGCTGTCTTCATAAAAAACATTCTACCACACCGCCGCACCGCCTCACCACCCACCTCACTTGCCAGCACTCCATGGCCACTCTCCATTGTTATTTCATTTCAAAGCTCTCAAAAAGGTTTTAAACAAGTAACATTATCTATCATTCTACCGCCAACAGAGACAACTTTATTCTGCAATCAGAGTGTGGCAACTTCATCGTAAAGAAGGACGAACTTCTTGTGGGAAACGTACACATGGCTCACAGAGACGAAAGCATATTCGATCAACCGAATACATTCATGCCGTCTCGTTTTGAAAACGAGGTAAGTTTTATTGCGTTAACAAACCCCTTCCGAGTATGTTAATTCGACATTGCTGAGCTGAATGGCAAAGAGAAGAAAGAAATTCGTTAACTTTCGGCATTGTTTAAACACTAAACATTCAAAGCTGTCGTAAAAAGGAAAGCGTGATTCAGTAAGCGTGGAACTTGAACGGATTAACTTACAATTTACGGGAAAAGAAACCTTCAAAAGGATTTCAGCAGAATCACAAAACTAGCTTCTTTTTCTTGGCAGTGCGTGTGTAATTCCCTTGAAAACAATTTGTTGCTGTTATTTTCAGGCTTTATTAGAACATATCATGTTTGGATATGGACCATTTAATGAAGAGCCCACGCCCAAAAATCATCACTGTCCAGGACAGGTAATACATGCCGAAGAAACCAAATGAAAGAGCAAAGCCACAAACACACCAATACAAACAAATACAATACATTCTACATTGCTTTTCTCAATAATGTTTTATCAAAGAGGGCAGATCCATTATGCTGGTAAAAAAAATATTTTTGATAGTATTACTCAGAGGGGAAGAAAAACAAAAAGGATCCTTAACCTTCCCAATGAAAACATTATTTCCGATGACTTTCGAAGAGTCTCTTCATTCTTTCTTTCCTTTTCTTTTGCTTGCCATCATCTTTTGCTATCAAGTTTATCTTCGTTCTCAAATTTCCACTTTCGTCGTTCATAATACTCTGTAACTTTTTTATCCGTTATTTTGTTTTAATTACCACCTCCATTCTTCAATCTGGTTTTGCAATGTTTCTCCTCAGGACATCACCCTGACTGTGCTCAAGGTTGTAGTGTCACACATTTTGCTATATTGCGAGTTTGCTTTGGTAGCACGCCCCGAGTGGACCGGCAAAAAGTAAGAATATCCCGCCATTAAAACCTTTTGGGGGTTTGTGTGTCGAGTAATGTTCCATGGGTGGTCGATAGACGCACGTGAAAAAAAAAAAAAGTACTTAAGTTGTCAAAAAGTGAATATTTTTTTAGCATGTTCCATGACAATGACTACTTTTATGTTTTCCTATGCTTTGTCTCCAGATTAAGAAGAGTTGGTTGTCCGGACAAGCCAATGAAATTGTCGTATTTCAAATACACGCCAACTGAGGTAACAAAAGATGAGACAGTTCTGAATCGGCCGGTCTGTCTTTAAGTCAGTCAGTCATATTCAGTCATGATCAAGAGCACGTTTCTCAAATGTACAGTCACTTCCAAAGTTAGAATGATGAAGATCAGAATCACTTAAATTGAACATATCAATCGCAATTGACGAGTTCAAAGCTGATTCGGTTGTCTTGTTCTTAATCAGGCTCAAGTTGGCGAAGCACAACTTCAAGTGACGAGCATAGAAAACGACTAGGATCCGCTGTCGTGAACCTGGGGTCAATGTACAACCTACATACGATCAGCCATAAGGAAGTTTCCATAGAAAAGGAACCTACGGTGGCACTCACCTAAATACATGAACTGAGGCGAAATAGTAGCAAATCCAAGAGACACTACGATGCTCTCTATTGAGAGGTCACAACCGATAAGCAGGATGTCATGGCAAGGGCATTATGTTTGGCTGCACCAAAGGCACCACATGCATACACGCACCAGTGGATATTACATACTACATATAGAAGTCTGAAGCCTTACACACTTTAAATTACATCGAATTTAAAATGAACACGCACCGGTGGATAAGTTCCTAGATGAGAATTACTTATGCGCGTGCAATATTGGATAATTTATGTCACGTTTATTTAAAGTTACCACATGACCAACTTTTGTTGGTAAAACTTTCGTGATGAGTTGTGTTTAATGAGAAAAGTCTCTGGAGAGGAACGACAGGAATTTTAGTAGCCATATACTTTACAAGCTAAACGTCTCTTTTATATGCAACAAACTGGTAGCGTATCAGTTGATAGATGCCGGCTAGCAATATTTCGCTAGCTAACGAAACTTAACTTGGTAAATCACTGATCAAATTCTCATATCAAACAGTTAAGGAAATGTATGCCTAATCACATGGAGAATACAGTTATGCTTGAAACTACCCACATCACCCAAGCCCTTCCCGTCCTGTTCCGTTTACACAACGGGATCAGATACAAACATAAATTTATGGTTAGCAAGTTAATTTACTTTAAGTTTATAATATATGTACGTAACAAAAAATACACAATTATCACAATAAAGTACTTTAGAAATTTTATTTGCTCTGATATATTATTGTTGCAGCAACAGAAAACGAGTGAAAAAGTCTTTTTTACAAAGTAAAAATGTATATAAAAAAGAAAATGAAATGGCACAAATCATGACACAAAAATTATTTTAGGTAGGAATGTCTTTGTTCCTGTGCAGGTTTGTTTGTTATTGGTTACAAGATCAGTTCATTAGCCTGCTATTGCATTCATGGTCTGAACGCTCCGTAAACGCTCGGGGGGTTTCACAGTTAGCCAAATTGCGCGCGACTTTGTCCCCACCCTCCGTCTCTTCCGCCTCTCGCCTCTGTGCCCTCAAGAAATCATAGTAGATGTATTTGCCAACGGGACTCATTAGGCCCCTGGTGGCAGCATAGCGCAGACGTGACCTATTTCTGGTCAAACGCCGCGGAAATATTGACTATTTCGAAGTGAATGCAGACTAGTGACAGCACAAGTTAACATGTTTAAATTTTTGACATCGCTTAACGTTTACTAAATTACTTACTAGTTGAGGATCAATACACCGGTAGAATATATTATTCATTTTCAATTTACAATATTTAATTTGCCACTTTCGGCCTTATTTTTTCGTAAAAGAATTGTTTTCCTATGGGTTCTAGCACTCCTCGCTTTGTTGTGAGAGCTCTCTTCTTGGCAGTTTGAAAAATCTTATTTGCAAATTCATAAAATTCATTTTCCATTTTCCATATTTTGGATTGCTCGAAGTATTCGATCGTTGACTGCTCCAAGGGTTTCTTGGACGCTGTCTTTCGTAGATGAGATTTCCCACCTAAAACAAGTTTAACAAGTATTATGAGTCAGAATAAAATTAAATATCAAACATGCATGTACACGTAGGGGTTCAATTCTACCATAAGTCCAAGGAAATAAATTTCCTTTTCGGGGTTTGAAACTGATTGAGCCCGCGGTACTCATCACTCTCGTTGCTAAGCAATACAGCGTTTCCTAATGACGCTACGCTAACCGGACAACCTTCAGAATACACACAAATAAAACGAAACGATTCGGATTGCCTTGCAAGGATACGTCAGAACCCAGCAATAGCTTGAAACCTTCACCAACTCATGAAAGCGGCAGAAAACATAAGCTGTATTACTGCATGTTACCTCAAACAATGTGTTCACACCGGTCATGTGTTAGGCAAAGGAGATAAGTTTCAAATTCAAAAGGTGTTGTCGATGTAACAGGCTTTGTTAGGGCGTCGTGTGTTGTCTCTCAACTGCTTCTCGTCTGTAAACCTTGATACAGCGAGGAGGCTAACGAAAATAGTGCAATGCCACTACGCAGAAATGAGATACGTCGAGTAACCAAAGACCTTCTTGAATCTCGATGTCGGGACAACATGTGGCGTTTTTCGACGATCATAAAAAATCTCTTTCTCTAAACTAACTATCTTGTCCAATCAGAAAGCAGGTCGAGCCCTGCTGCTGATGTTAACAAACTGGCCTGCAGTGACTTTGATTGGTCAAATAACAAATTACGCTAGTAACTAAGAGTATGTGACGTGACTTTTGGTTTCCCAGCCTACCCTGTGACAAACAGAGCCTGGTCGCAGGCTATTCCCAGCCAAACTTGATGAGGGGTAATCTTGTACACCCAGGAATTGGCATACCTAGGCCTCATACCTACATTAAAGAAACACATGAAACATACAGCACCTTCGTTGAATAATTTCGTCGCTCCTTTAAAGATTCTTGGTACAGTTGCTTCCAAAATGGCCACAAAATCGCCAATTTCTTCAGTGATTCCTACCAACAAGTACTTTTCAACCAAGTTTCTTTTAGCCTGCTCCAAAGCCCACTTATTTCCTGGAGACCTGGTATGAAAACACCGATCAACTCAGTAGGACACATCACATTTGTTAATTTGAAGCAGGGCTCAAAGGGAAACAGCTCAATAAACACGGGTGCCCTAGCCTGTATAGTAGGCGTTAAACGAGGGAGGGGGGGGGGGGGCGGGGGCAAAGCGGGGAGGGATGGAGGAGGACTTCTTACTTGCGTTCTTTGCCTCCCTAACCCTTCCCTGTTTACGCATACAATGCAGGTTACGGGTGATTGGTTGGGTGCTGCAGTTGCCTCAAGGTCAAGATCATATTGTGACACTGTACCATATTTGGCTATGCAAGGCAGAAGGCTGAGGAACATTTATTAACAGGGAAAAGAAATTTCAGCCACAAGATGTAAGATCAGAAGGATTACATGTAAAGAAGAAGTGGTTTCTTGCCTCCTATTTAGACAGTGTTTTGTGTATTTGATGGTTGGTTGTTGTTTTTTTTTGTTATTATCATTATTATTATCATTATTTTAAAACACTGTATAAACAATGTACAGTGTACTGGTACTTTAGGGGCTTTGATAAACATTATTGTCAGTGACAGTCTCATAGATTATTATTGTACATACCATAATNGGGGGGGGGGGGGGGGGGGGGAGGTTGAGTACCAAGAAGGGAGCATAAGAGGGAAAGGCATTTAACATTTGGCCCTTGATTGCTTAACTAGAAGGGTTGGTTAGGAGGCTTTGGCACATGAATAAAGTTATTGTTATTAACAAAATATAGTCTGCAGAAGACTGTTTAACAACACAAACCATTGAGAAAAAGCTTAAGTCCCTCACCAGCACTGTGATGCATGGCCACAAAAGAATGGGATTTGCAGCCACAACTTTTCAGGCCGGCAGTCTGGGTTTTCTCTTTGTACACATTCATCAAATGTCTGAAATAAAGAGTTACATGCTTTTACACAGGTGTATAAATTAAATCCTCTTAAATTCACCACAGAGCCTCTAACTTTTATGAAAATTGTCTGACATTTTTCATGGTTGCAAGATTGTAACAATGTGCTTCCTTAATGTAATATAAGAATGAGGTGCAGATTGCTTTCCACCAAAAGATGTCATGTGATGCACTGTCCAATTCAAGACGATGTATTTCAGTGGTAGAGTATAATGCTATACTTGGCATTTGAGATTATTTTTATGTCAGTGAAACAGGTGGCAAACTTGGAAAAAAAATCTGAGTTCTTCATCTAAGACACGGGACCTAAGACCTTCTGCTCACAAGTTAGATACTACTGAGCTACATGAGACTATTGGGAGCTAAGGCCATAGACTTTGTTCATACATGACAAACATCCTGCATACCACTAGGAGGTAAATGTTAGTGAACAGCATACTCACAGTGACAATAAATTATCAGTGGATACTTCACAATTGCTCACCTCTTTGTCTCCCTGCCTTGTCCTTCGCAGATAAGGCCTAAAGGTATCACCATACCTTAAGAAATAATAATATGAGACAAGTCTGTCCAGCGGTTTCCTAATAATGTTTATATACAAAGGCCTCCTGTCAACACCAAATTTTTCAAACTCGACATAGGCAAGATGACCATGATAAACGGCAGGCATTTTCTGTCTCCATCTTGTGATATTGTGAGCAAATCTCATTTGGTCAGGGATTGAAATTGTGTGCGAGTTTCGACTCACATTCAGGTGCAGGGCATGGAATTTGTTTGGATGGCAGAGGTCATAGATAACGCCCATGAAAGAAGTGCTGCCAGTCTTGGGAACCCTGTTGTAGAATATCACAATGTGGTCATCATCAGCTTCCAAGGTAGCCTCTCTCCTACTGGATGACTTTAAAGAGAGACTGAATGAATATTACAAATGATACAAGAATGCTTGATTAAAATTACCTTGATTGTTTGGCACAATGGTGCAGAGACCATATGTGTCGAGCATTTAAATTTTAACACAATACTTTGTAATTAAACTGTCTTACACTCTGTAACCCATTTTTTGTGCCTCATAGCTATTATTATTAATAAATAATATTCACTTTCCAGTAACCACCAGTCCTATTAGAAGTCTTTTGTTTAAGTTTCTGATAGAAGCATGCAATAATGCTACTGGGATTCTTCATTTCCATATTCTTGAGACACTATGAACAATTATTAATAAACAAATGACAATATTTATTATCTATTCTATTACTATAATAATTTTTCGAAATACTAGGAAATAGATGAATAAAAAGAGATATCATGAATATACTCACTGCTGAATGCTTTTCAATTGATATCACTGTAACACTAAATCTTACCTTGAGGCTGCTTTCCCAAAGCACATCTTTCAAAATATTGCTATCTGGCAAATTCCTGGAGTACTCTATTTAACAAAAAAAGTAACTCAGCAAATTAAAAACAAAATGAAATGAAAGTCATGGTTACATTGGTATTTAAAATACACATAGGGTGTCTGACTTTTCAAGACACCCTGTCAAAAGAATGCATCTCAAAAACAAAACCATGTACTGACAGGATATGATTAGATGTAGCTCAAGGCAGGCCTCTTAACGGATCGCTATTTTGAATGTAGTTACATACATGTATCTCATTGGTATGGAATTTTTCAGATCAATTCCCAACTCCCTCTTGAGGTGTGTCAAACAGAAATGAAAACACAAAGAGACACAATGACACCTACAGACTCCATTTTCTTCAAGAACCTTTCAAGGGCAATTACCTAAGCAATATTCACAAACTGCAGAATACTCACAATTAAGTCACACAAACTGCAGAATATTCAAGACCCCACTGAAGCAACGTACTTATATTACAATAAACTGTTACGTACTTCACAAAATAATTACACAAATTCTGGAGGATAAAAATCAGCTTTCAGAAGTCTAAAAAATGTCTTTCTTGACTAATTTACATCCATGCTACTTTAGTGCATAGTCTCCTCAAGGGCTTGTCAACAAAGTTCAAGGACTCAGTGCTGGTAAAAATCCAAGAACTTTACACAGAGAAAACCTAAATCTTTAATTTTCATAAGGCAAGGACTTCTCAAGGATCCTGCAATTATTCAAGGACTTTCCAAGGCATGTGCAAACCATGAGACATCAGACATACAAGGAAGGAGGATGGGATGGTGGATGCCACCCCCCGTTAGGTTTTTTCAAAGTTTTGAAAAGATGATTTACTCTAAGAAGCTGAAGCTTTCAGTAGCTGTTCATTCATCGTCTGCAGAAATTTTGATATGTCAATTGTGTCCATGATTTTTGATGTTGCATGGCCATTACAGAATTGCACCCACTGAAACATGTCAACTGAATATGTAAATTAGCTTCCAAAAAAGTTAACAGGGTACGCATAACTAGATGCTGAGAGATGTCATCATTAAAATCCCGAGTGTATATCAATGTCAAAACCATTGTTCCTGAAAGCCTTGATCGAGTCATCATGTAACAATAGACCTAATTAGGACAGCCATCTTGATTTAACCACTATTGTTGAGAAATACATCACTTAAATTTAATAAAAGCAAGAACTTTGCATAAACAAGTCCATAATAATTGTCAATGGGACCGAGCGAATACTTTTTAATTTGTCAAGAGATATTGGCCAACGTATCAATCGGTTCAAACGCACATACAATATCGCCAAATTAACAAACAACATAAAGAGCAAACATCTGCGGATCTAATTTCTTTCTTCAAAAATAGGCGATACAAAAATACCAGAAAAAAGCTTACGATTTACTTGTCCTTTTCGCCTTACTCCTTCTGTGAGATCCAGTTATTTTCCGGACAGCGTGATAAAATATATATACCAAATGCAGTGCTAGAAACTACTTGATAAAATGGCACCAGCAAACCAAAGTGATCGCTGTTTTCCTTCTCAGCAGAATTTCTAAGTGACAGCCACCGCAGAAAAAATCCATCGCTCTCACTTCACTCTTTACGTGAACATCAAATCAAAAGGGCTTTTTAAACTACTCTCAGGACACGGTGTATATTTCCACACAGCTTGTGTTTAATTTTCCACATGGCGGTCACTTGTTGTGTCTTTTGTAATGAAATATTTTCCCATAGTTTTGCATAGGCAATCTTTGTTTCCTTTACAGCTAGCATTGATCAAAAGTAAGAACATTTTTACACTTTTTTCACAATACTAATTGCTCCTGCTGTCTCGAACAGAATGAGGGGGAGAATTATTTGTTATGAAGTCAAAGGGAACTGAAAATGGCGGCAAAGCTTTATGGGTGCACCAAGCATGTTGGGTACCCCACTTTTTTCAGCTGACGCGTTTCAATGGGCACGATTCTGTAATGCAACCACAACTTTCATGTAGGTCTGGCCAAAAATCAATTTTTTTGGACATAACTCTCAATTTTTTCCAGTTTTCATCATTAAATCACAGAAGTTGATAAATGTTTACATTCCATACACATTCTAGCTTTCCATTATTTTTTTACTGTGTATGAAAATAGTGAAATCCAAGATAGCACATCTAAGATGGCGGGTCAAATGACTTCATATAATGTCATAACCAACAAAAATGGTGTCATCTTGTAGAGCGTGCTCAGGGCTACAGTAGCTTCTCAATGTAAATTTAACCTTAACAGAACAAAACCCCCACGTGGCTCACTTTTCAGTTCAAGATAAGATCCCTTGTGATCAAGACCATTTTACAGTAAGAAGACCAAATAGACCAAAATTCTCAATAACAATCAAGACCCGCAAACGTTGGTAAGCAATGGCTTATTTATGGTGCTAGTTATATTACTGAATCTAAATTTGTGATTCTACAGTAAGGGTTATTGCAAAATTTTGACTATTCTTAAGATTCTCAACTACCCAGGCACATTGCAATTAACAACACAGAGCTCTCAAGTCTCACACACTGGGCATGAGACTCACGCAAACAAATTCAATCTTACGCCCTCGCGCTAAAACTATTATTTCTCACACATTTAAGATTCCTTGCTGCTTTAGTTAAGTTCCTTCATAACAAACTATCTTTTATGATACATGTATAATTTAATCCTTCTTGGTTTTGTACTCGCTTCGAACACTTTACTCTTGTGCAGAACCAGCGTTTCTCTGACGGTGGGTACATGTAAGTCAGAATATTAAGAAAGAGTTGATATTGGTCCAATAATAAGAAAATTCTGGGATCTAAAGAGTTGCTTTTAAAGCATCACATTTCTGCTCAGAATGAAGGGAAACACCTCCTCGCTACCTTCATTTTCTAAAATTTCATAGGGGAGCATGTCCCCAGACCCTCCTAGCCGGGTGACGCCTGCGACGTCACAAACAATGGCTATGCCGTCGAAGATCTCACTCTTTGCCAGCAAGTTAACTTGAGAGCTCTGTATAACATGAGATCAGTTATTCTTAGCTATGAACACAAGGATATTGGGTGATTTCTTACAATGTATGTAATGATTTCAGTCGACCTCATTGATACAAGAATGTCCTGAGACTACAGGAATAGGAAGAAAAAAGAGACAATCCTACTTTGAATATTAAATGATAGAAATAGCATCAAATGCAAACTTGGAAAAAAAATCTGAGTTCCAGATGGGATTTGAACCCACAACCCTCCATTTCACCCACAGTTCACCCTTGCTCGCCATGGAGTCTGCAAAAGCTCAGTGGTTAGAGCATCCGACTAGATACAGAGGATTGTGGGTTCAAATCCCATCTGGAACTCGGAGTTTTCAGTTTTCAGAGTTTTCAGTTGATGCTATTTCTATCATTTAATATTCCTTATAATTATTTTATTACTCACTTTGGATAATCCTTAACATTGGTCAGGTGTTTACTCTAACCCAGGATACAAAAATGAGATATTTTCAATAATATTATAATATGAGAGACACCATTACAGAGAGATTGCATAATTACCATACTGTTGGAATATCAGAACATCACGTGCAAACTAGCAAATTATAGGTATCCCTGGTCATCTTATATTGAAAAGACAATTTAGATTAAGTCAAAGACTTCTAATGAATACAAGAACAATTATTCTATATATTTGGGGTAAAATTAATGGCACAACTAATACAAAGATGCACTCAGATGTTAATATTCACAAATTGTCATTGTATTATAATCTGCCATACCGAGTCACACGGGCGCAGGATTAACTTGTCTAAACCAATTAATTTAAGTCTTGAATTTTTCTGTAATTGAATTAAACAATGAACAAGAAGGAAAATACTTAGGGCATGACAAATATCTGTCTTTAACACACAGAAAGTTTGGGGGTAGAATTCAATCGGATATGCGTAAAACAAAGAAACTCAAATATACGCTTGTGCCTTTCGAAAAACCCGGCATGTGAAAAATAAACAGTACTCGAACTCCACCGTATCAGATCGTGTATTGCTGACCTATGAAGAGGATTGTGACAGTCGCGTATCGAGGAAAAGATCATATGTAAACTGAGTTCTACAGTGAAGAATGTAGAAAAAGTGAATCTTACTAATGAGAATAGCTAGATCATACCGTTCTGTTGGGTTGGAACGCTTGTCTGTAAAATTTGGACCTCCAGAATTACAAATGCGATGATAAATGCCACAATCATCCATTTGTTCACAATCATTCTTCCAATAAGGAGAAGCAGCCTTGGAAGAACCATACATTCGTGTAAACTCTAGGAGTTTTCGCTATATACATAAAACTAACACTCTAGCTGACTCGACTAGAGAACTATAAACATTCCAGCTGTCGAAGATTGCCCTAATCAAGCGAGGAGTCTGGAACGAGTTCTTTTAAGTACTAGGTTCCAGTTCTCCGTGTGAACTTGACAGGGCTAAGCTTGGGGCGGATATTACTATGGATATCATGGATAGCTGTATAACATTTTAAAATTTGCAAGATCTACGATAGCAATCAGCACTCCTGATAGATCCTGATAGGATGTAACTAGGTTGTGTGTGTGTCCAACATAATATTATTCGCCCAATGTGTCAAGAGGAAGGCAATTAAATGTACTTTTATGAGATTATCAGCACATATCTGTAAGTGTACTATCGGTGGAATTCCGCTAACTTTCAGTATCGATTCAGTAAGTGCCGGTTACTATTATTATTGTTGTGCGTATCACGAAGGAGGAAAATATCTCGCATGGAGCGACTTGGTACAGTAATGACTCCGAGCTTCCAGTGTACTGGGAACGAGTGCGGTCACTTAAAACACCGGCTAGCGCACATAAATATCATGTTTTCAGCCTAAATAGAAATAAATACCGTTACAACGACAAGAGTTTAAAAAAAAACAAACAAACAAACAAAGAACTCTTTGAGCCTACTTCTGAATGCAAGTCCTGCTTCGGCCTGTTTCCATAAATAACTTGAACAGTGACTATTGAAACAAAATGTATTATTGTACCCAGTAGTTCACTACTTACACACGCTTCGTATCCAGGCATCACTAGTTCGTCAGTTTGTCGAGGGTCGAGGGTTCTATGTGGAGGGTTGAGTATCAAATTCATAGCATTGAACTATGCTATTCCTCATAATCTTACAGACACGGAATTTGAAGAAATTCAACGAATGAAAACAGCTTAAAATGTTCAAGGACTGCCATCGGGGCCTCGGCTCTGAAGGCTTCGCTTTTGATCTAAGAATAGGGGAAGAGCGGACACGTGTGAAATTTTACCATAGCAACTTCAACCCATAAAAGACAGCCAGCGCAGTGTAAAGTTAAAATAAAATGATTAGGGAACCCGGCTTCCGGGAATGTTCCTTGATCCCTTAAATATTTTGCACTTCCCTCCTTTTCCCAAAGATCAAAACCAAGAGAAAATGACAGACCTTGAAAACTCAGCCTTGAACTTTACAAGTTGCAATCGTTCTAAGGGACATTTATCAAATTGAACGTTTGAAAACGTTTCCATTCTTAGGACTTCTTCGCGGAATCACGCGACAGAGAATCTGTATAGCTCTGATTCCGATGAACAGCATTTTCAGGGTTTTGGACTCGACCTGGCTCGCTTTACTTCAGACTTCAGCTGACAGGCTGTTCCACGAGACAGCTCTTCCTTAAACAAAAGCCCTTTTCGAGGGCTTTGAACAGGTGTTGAAGGCCTCTATAAGCGTCACAGCTTGTGCTCGCGCCGAACCGTCTAACTATCTCCCTTTTTTGCCTGATAAATTTAAATAGCAAAACAACTTTTTGTAAAAGATGTTCTGTCTTGAGCACTAGCACACTCTGACCACTGAGCAACAGGAAAACTCAGACCATCAATGACACGTGCCTGTATGTCTCCTATGTGTAGGATGCAGAAACAAAAAGATGGTAACGTTAAGCTCGGCCAATAAAAGGTAAAGATCCGAATTCTTTTGTCACAAACACAAGGCAAAGAAAACATTCTTTGTTAAAAGATTTTTTTCTCTATAGTAATGAATTTGTAATTCATCAAAATGGTCTCTTTTGGTTTAATTGGTACCGAGGTCAGTTTTCAGTGGGACAGACCAGACTGGCAAAATTCAAGAGAGTGATGTAAATTCTGTAAAACATCTTGCGATAGTCAAGGGAGAAATTACAGTAGTTATTATATTGATTAGATGCAAAATGAAAAATGGGATTGTTTGCCCAAGCCATTAATTCATTGTTTATACCATGCTAATCAGCGCGATACAAGTCCTTCTTACTGGTTATTTTTACCATTAAAATGATTGTTCCAGTGGCCTCTCTGGCTGAGTGGAGCTTGCGGATGGAAAGGAAACCAAAATTGGCGTCCTTACATTGTGGTGTTTCTTCAGACATTTCCGACATTTCTCGGTTCTCTTTGTTGCTCCGCCTCGCAATGTTTTCAAGTGAAGGGGTGATAGAGCTGACTCATAATAATATCGCCTTTGTCATGTGAAGACCCTGCTCGCAGGTTATTGTCATGCAAATGAAGGAGCCCTATGATAGTTCAGCAAGTCGTTTCGTCTTCCAACTTAAACAATGCTTAATTAGCTTCCATCTGTCAACACTCGAACATTAATCTCACTGAATCATTTTTGTAAAGTTTGCGCTTTGAAGGTTCTCGAGGATGTAGTACTAATTTGATTTACAGCCTAGAACATTCGAAACCATTAAAAATGTGGCTCGAGAATAGTCAAAACCCAAGCTTAAAGGAACTAATAAAGTAAAAGTTATCGTAAGAAAGTTAAATTTTTTCATTAAAAACAAGAAAATTTAAAATTTGAAACGTGCGGGGTGCACGGCAATGACCTCATGCTATTTTATTGTCCACAAAACAATCCGAAGCGAGTAGATGACTTTTGCCTTTGGAAATTCCGCCATTAGCCTCGAAAAGGTGGGAACAAAAGTACATAGTATTTCTTCAATTGCGCTTGTATGTACTTGCTCCATACAGGACTGCACCTGAAGTCTGTGACTTTTACGAGCATAATGACGGAAGTTCACAGAATGTCAACGGACTTGAACCGAAATAAGCTAATTGAGCATATTTAAAATGAAATATATATTTTTGGTTTTGGCCAGAAATTTAATCACTGTTGACAGGAGCAAGAATATAATTATCGCGTACTTTGAATCTACTGAATTGGTTCATAACCAAAGGAATTGAGTAGGCTAATGTTATTACATGCGCATGCTTCACACGAATCTCTCTCTTTTTGTGCAACTGGCTGACAAATTTGAATAACACAACTATTTAAGAGGTGGCATAAACAATAGATGGTACGGGAGAACAATCGATTATTGATTTTACATGTAATCAGTATGCTAACATCATTTTACTTTTGCTATCACAAAATGTTTCACAAAATTTACAGTTCTCTCCACATTTTGTCAGCTTGGCCTGTCCCATTTGAAACTGACCCCGGTGCCAATTATAGAAAAGCGACTATTTTGATGAATTGTAAATTCCTTACTAAAGAGAAAAAATTGTTAACAAGGAATGCTTCAGTTCTTTGTTTAGAGCTCCCGACAAATAATTTGGATCTTTCACAATTTATTACCAGGCGAAATATTACCACATTTCGTTGTACATTTCCAAAGAGGAGATAGATAAGTATGTGTCACCTGTGGTCTCCATGTAGCTCATTAAACAGAATGTGGTTAATTATGCTCGCAACATCTATCACAAAAAGTTGTTAAATATGCACACCAACGTGATCCCAGTCTTTGTTCTTGGCCACAATTTACATCAAGATGGTTGTTCCCTCGCTGAGCGCGCCGTGCAAATGGAAGAGAAACCTAAACTGGCCTTACATTGTTATGTTCTTAATCACTTCTCTCAGTTTCCTCTTTTACTTGGCCTGGCCAGTTCTTATGAACCACTCAAAAGAGGAGGAGAAAGACCTGGCACAGAATAACATCGCCTTTGTCATGCAGCTGAAGGAACCAAATGATAGTTCAGCAATTCGTATCGTTTTCCGACTCAAACAATGTCTAGCTTCCATTTGTCAACACTCGAGCATCAATCTCACAATCCACATCTTTGCTAATTCTGTAGGCAAAGACGAGTCTTTGAAAGTTCTCGAGGAAATAGCCGATTATTGCATCAATGGTTATTACATGAGGGTAAAATTCTACGATGTTAAGAAGCCAGTGAAAAACATTCTACCATCTGTAAACTTGATTAAGGTGAGTCTGGGTGTCAAAAAAAATTGTGTTCATCTTTATAATCTATACCTGAAGTTTTAAAGGAATTTGAAAGCGTATATAAACATTGTACCCATTCATTTAAATTTCCAGAGACAAGTTCGTTTGAGCTTCGTTGTAGAAATAAAAATTCAATCATTTCACGTAAACGCCGGGAAGGATTTGGTGTGGCATTCATTTCAAACCAGCGCCGGATATTCGTACTTGCATTACTTGATTTGTTTGTTAATTCCCTCTTTTCCCACCAGGCGATCCAGTACTACTCTAGAGAACTGTTTTTCGTAAACTTCATATTTCTAAAATTTGTATTATCATTTCCAGTGACCAGGTCATCAAATTCTATAACACGGCCGTATGCAAGAAATATCGAACACGAACACGTAATTCAACATCGTTAAATTTCAGATTCTTTGTAGTTATGATCTTTTTATCGAAAAAATTACACAGACATGAATCTTTCTCCGCCTGATACAGCCATTTCTTTGTCTAGGGCTACATTTAAGGAGAAAGGTCCTGAGTTTGTGAACGTACCAAGACGTGACCTTGTCGACCTTGTCTTTGCATGGTGCGCCTGGAGGAAAGACACAAACTCTCGACTTTTATCACCATCATGATGGCTAACCTATTTTTATTTTATCACAGTGGGGAGATGTTCCTCCCAAAGCTCCCTAATTATTTCGCCTTTTTTGAGAGTAAAACATATGAATATATCCAAACGCCCTTTTAAAAGGACTTTTAAGGTCTTCGGAAGGTGACAAGCAGTGTTCGTAAAGCCTCCAAACAGTGCGGAGTCCCTCGAGGTTGTTCGGAAATCGTCGAGTCTAAATCTATATTGTTCGGCTAATGAGATGGACATCGATTTAATATAAAAAGCAAGTGAGAAGTGAAAATTACTAAGATATGCTAGCTCAAATTTTAAGTGATGGCTGAGAAATGGTCTAAATTTAAACCATATCTTAGAATACAGTTCCCCCATGCATACCCTTTTAATATGGGACAAGTTTTACGGCATAAATTAAGCTTGACAATAGATATCGCTGGTCGACCATCGTCAGAGATTCCAACCGTTTTCGTCCCCTAAATAGGAAAGGAATATATATTTGAATTTTAGCTGCTCCCCACCAGCCGGTCTCAATATTAATAGCATGATACGAGTAGATTGATGAACTAGATTTTATTTTGTTCTTGTTTCTCTGAATTTAGAATGTCAATTTGATTTTTTTTAAATAGGACGCCATTGCCATAGGAGGTCGCTTTAATCCAAGGCTTCCTCTCTTTTATCTTCCCATTTTCATGGATTACATTCTGCCTGAAGATGTGACGAGAGTTATTTTATTGGACGCTGACTTCTTTTTCAACACGGATATCAAGCAGCTGTTTGATCACTTTGACAACTTCAACGAAAAAACTCTGTTTGGTATGGCTTATGTGCAACAACCCAACTACAAATCGTTCTTTGCGAATTACAGAGAAGAACATCCGGGAACGAAGATTGGCGCGCCGCCGCCCGATGGCGTCAGGGGATACAATGGAGGTCTTATCATGCTTCACCTGAGTAACATGCGAAGATCAGAGCTTTACAAGCAAATCCTTCTTGACAACGACATAAAAAGATTTGGTGCAAAATACCAATTCCGAGGACATCTAGGTGAGCAAGATTTCTTCGTTTTGTTAGATGCGGAACATCATGAGTTGTTTTATGTTGTTCCTTGTCAGTGGAACCGTCAGCTATGTCGCAGTTTTGACACAGAGGACGACTTTGATGTCTATCACGATTGTCCTAAGCCTCATCACGCGTACCACGGAAACAGCAAGATTATAATGCCCACATTGGAAGATCCCAATCTGTTTGATCCCGCTGAAATACAATGAAATGCAAACTGAGGAAACCAAGACTATGTTACATGTAAAGCACGTAGGGTACTCCACAAAGTTTTTGGTAGCGTTGTGTGGCTTTAATCTTAAAACCTGTACCCGATTTCAGAACAAAATCTGTGATTTTACATGTCCTATTTTAGACCCGAGCGAAAAAGCGATATCCCATTTCAGACCTCTAAAATTAGTACACGGCTCTAATATATGACCACCGGTAACAAGAACTGGCTTTCATTTGCGTAAACATTTGAGAAGGACCGCCAATTTGCTGATGTTGATGCGGAAACTGAAAATAGTTCCTTGTAAACAAAATACCTAATGTCAAGCCAGACTAAAAAACATACCCAGTATTTAGACCAAAATGGTCAAACTCCATACCCTTTATAAGACTAAAACCAATTAAAATCCATATACTTTGGGGCCGCACATACCTATATAGCCAATATAAGGGAGTATCCCCTGGTTGTTAAGGCTCCTGATAATAAATAGCACAATGTTCTAGTCACTACAGGATATATTGTATTTGTAGCCTACTGACATAACCATTGTAATTTTAGTGTAGTGTATGTAATGTTTTTTGACGGGCCTTGAATTTTGTATAAGAAATAATCAACTCACAACTAGATACGTGTCACCCCCAGTTGAGTTTTCAACTTTAACTTAGCCTGTTCATTTGTCAATATCGTCTTGTTAGCAAAAGCTAGTAAAATTAAACATTTAACTCAAGATGGCTTAAGGTCATGCCAAAAATATGTCTTTATCCTCTTTTTAATTTTTTTGATGTAATTGGTTGTCACCATCATGATCTTTATTTGAAATAGAATACGTACAATTCATATGTTCGAACTGCAGAATAAAGATTTAATTAGGAGAAAGACCATCGCAGTTAAATACACAACTTAAGTGGTTGTGATAAGGCCTGAAAAACATTCAAGCTTGAGCAGCATTTGAACCCCGTGACCAGTGCGATACCAGTGAAGGGTTATAACCAACTTAGCCATCAAGCCAACTGGGCGCTGGTCATGACGTCATTACAAGGTATTTTGGCTCTCCATGGGATCGATGAATTGAAAGTCTTTCATTTATGTAATAGCCCATTTCCGAGTTGCCTTGAGCCTCTCTATCAAAGCGAGGCCTGGTGCACAACCATTCATATGAAAATGAGTTTGATTTGCATGTGAATGAAATCTCATTTTCATATGAAAGTATGGGCACCAAGACTCGCTTTAAGAAAGAGGCCGCTAAAGTTAATTCGGAAATGGCCTATTCATTCATACCATGCTTTCTCCAATAGCGTAACTCCGTGATTCACATTAGAAAACACACACCACACACAATCCACCACTTTGCTCCGGCATAGGACTGCCACTCGAAACGTTAACTTAACTAACTCTGTACGGCGGTTAATTTCAAGTTGCTAAATGGCTAATTGTTTAAGAAGGAATCCACCACAAGTTCAAGTAACAAATCAGTGGACAAAAACTTTGTACCGAGGTTGTTTACATTGCTTTGCAAACTTCTGTGTGACAGTTTTAAATATCCTCTCGAAAGAAATCATTTCTAACGAAAACCACAATGGCGAAAACAAGTTTTGGAGTTCATATGAAACACTCGAAAGTACTGGTAAAATGAAACTGATGATAAAATTTGACCTGTGTTTGCACAATTTCTCTGAGCTTTGAAATCAATTTTCTCGATTTCCCATGGGAAATTGTATTTGGTGGTATTTCAGGCAACCATTATATCATGCAGAAAGGACTGTAATATACTTAAAGTTATTTTGGTACAAGGTTTCTGTCCATTAAAAACTGAAATTGCTCGATTTTCCAACGGATTTTGTCTTAACTTGTCTCGCGACGCAGCCAAACAGCTTCTTTCGAGACTGCTACCTTTGTACGGACAATGCGCAAAAGGAAATCAAATCACGAAAAAAAGAAGTGTAACTCTAGATATCAAGAGGGGTTGTGGAGCAGTTGTTAGCGGACATTCTCAACCCATTTTAAAATTCCGTTACATGAAAAGAAGAGTGTAGTCAATTGTGCAAATAAAAAAAATGAATTGGCAACAGATACTGCATGAGTCTTGTTTCCTGAGACATCCATGAGGTACTGGCTGATGATATCTACGGCCGACGCCTCTGAAATATGAATTAACCAGCCAGCATTCAGCAGACGACAGAATCTACTCTCTCCTCACGTGACTTGTCTGTCAATATGAATGGCATTGAAGTCAGGCCACGTTTCTCCCTGGAGACTGGATTTTGTGATAGTGTGAGTCAAAATCGTTGCAGAATGCAGGGATGATGTGTTGTTAGAGGCAGCCGTGGCAATACAGCCCGGTTAGGTGAACGTATTCATGGCAAGGGAAAACAATCACCTCTCCTTTCAAAATTTCAATCTGGATGGCACTCGGTTCAGAAGCGAAAAAGAAGATAAAAGAAGATTGTTCTGCATGAGGTCGCATCGAAAGAGGGAGCCATCGAGGAGTCCTTCGATCTCGCGTTTGCCGCTACTGTAAAAACCTAAAGATTTTCATGGCCTGTATCTTCTTCTCCAGAACAAATAAAAAACTATGTGAGAAAATCATACGGCATATTAAAATTAAACATATGGAATTTTTGTCCTCTACATAGAGACTGACTTTTCTAACTAATAGTAAACGACTCCTAGGTCCTTCAACGAGGCGAAAGATTGTTGAAGCTTCGAACAGCTGAACTAGTTATGTATTTGCAGACAGTTATGTCCAACCACACGCACGAGGTTGATAATCCGGCCAAGTTTCTCAAAAACCCTTCTACAAACACAATTGTTTTGTTCTTTGAGGAACGCAAGTACATCTCAATTATAAATTAACAACTTAAAACGAACCAAGCAAATATGACTATATAAGAAAAGTAAAACAAAACAATGCGCTTGTTTTAAACCGAAACACAGACTAAATCAGGCGAGTGGTAAATCTAGCGCTCTAAGGTAATTATATATATAAAAAAAATTACACAAAAGACTGAGCAGTGGGGGAGAATTTGCTTGATATTTTACTGAACCTTTTGTCAGTATCGTGTCCATGGATTTATGATTTATGCAAATAGCCGGCAAATGGTCGATCCTGACTTGCATTATTGCCACGGGCTCCACTCGAAATTCAAAATAAATATATATATATCGCAGCCGTCCGAATCGTAGCCAGACTCCGAATTGTATTGCTGATAGATACAGTTCTAAAAATATGACGCAAAAATGCTCTCACAGCGCCCGAAGCCCAGTCATAGTCTCTTGAGTGCTTTCATCCCAGTTTTCGCGTTGACGTCACTAGTATAGCTGCCTCTCGCAACTCGCGGTCGTAAACGCAGAAATTACAAGTTTAAATCCCAGTGGAAACGCCGGAATTTTGTCAATCGAGACAATTTTGTTTTCGGAAAACTAGTAGACTTCATCATGAGAAGAAACCAAAATTTGGGGGTTTAGTGGCACTTAAAGCTTTCGATTTGACGCCAAAACTTGCTCGCCCGCCCACGGCAACTCGCTCGCCAGGTAACTTAGACGTTGTATTATTCTGAACAAGTCACCTTTTCCCTCACGGAATTAACCCACAATTTCCGAGTACCGTATTTTCTCAATTAAACGCCCCAGGCGTTTATTTCTAAATTGTCCTCGTGGACCCGGCGTTTATTTGAAGCCGGCGTTTAATCGGGGCCCGGCGTTTATTTATGAAGTGCAATATTCTGTCATTTTTTTCAGATTGATTTATTCACCCATCCTCCGAAACCTAGGGCAGTTTGTCAACACGAAATGACTTTTCCATTCGGTAAACTGTCCCTGAGTCTTGGAGGATGATTGTTGCTAAAAGATACAGCATTATAAACAGCACGTGTATGTTGCAATCAGGACATGTGGCACTGAACAGAACAAAAATATGTAAAATAAATGGGAGCAAATATGGATACAAAGTTTTAAGTTCCGTATAAACGGCAATGTCGCCATCGTTCTCCTCGATACTATCAGTTAAGCGTCCGCATTTACGATCTTTAATCTACCTTAATCGTCATAAACAACAAACTCGTCAACTTCTGGAAAGATATTGCGATCGGCGAAGGTCTTATTGTAAGTCATGAAGAAANGGGGGGGGGGGGGGGGGGGGGGGGAATTATTTTGTCAGAAACCACTAACATCACATTGAATCACGACCACAAATTATATAAAATTATCTTCATCTTTAATATGTAGCTATTAGATCTGTAAAAGAGGTACATTACACTGACATATCTAGCAAGCTAGCGGTGAATGAAAATCGCGAGAACAGCCAAGTTCCAAATATTGCAAATCTAGCCGACTACTTACTTCTGTGGCAATATTCAGTCAAACGTTACTTGGGAATTCTTGAACTGGAAGCAAGCCCAGTAGATGGCCAACAACTGCAGGAAAAAGATAAGAAAAAGAGAAAAAGGAAAGGAGAAAAAAATTGAAACATCGGAAAAACGTTAAGACGTAGATCACTTTCTCGTCCAGAAATTTGGACTTGTGTGCATACCCGAGAAAAAATGTCATAAAACGCGATGCTAGTGGAAAGAAAGGCAGAAAGGCATGCTGTCTTGTTGCAACTGCTTTTTGTTTTAGTAGATTGGAGCTAATTTAGCTCACTGATGGATCCACGTTGAAAATGTCAAAAAAGCCTAATTGCGTTTTTGCCAAAATGATCTGGGTGCCAATGGATTAAAATGTCTTAGATATGAAAGATGCGAATTTCACCATAGTAGCACTTAAAGAGGCTGGTTGTAATCGCCATTATTCTAAATCTAAAATGGTAATCATGTATGTAATACATACGTGAACTACAATTAAATCGTCAAAATTCGCTTTTATAGTTGTTAACTTGTAAAAATAACTTTCAAAAGCAGTATTCCCAGTGCTTTATACAGCTCAGTTGATTCTTTGTGTTGTTTGTGTTATTTATGCATGGACAAATAACTTACTCAGGCAGTTGTGAAATTGTGCTTAAGT